TTTTTTTTTTTTTTTTTTAGATAACATTACCAGGTATAGGAGATAATGGGTCGGGACTGACTTGAGAACCTTTTTCCAAATATACTGATGGGAAATAAAATACATTTTTTGTAAGCTTTAAAAAAAAAAAGATAATGGTACTTTTCAATGCTGTCGCTGATTTTGGTAACATAAGGACCTTAGTTTTAGAACTATATCCTGAAATATTTTGGGTAAAGGGCAACATGTTTGCAATTTTAAGTGGCTTATAAAAGATTTGTATGTCTATATGGAGAAAAAAAGGAGGAGAGCATTTGGCTAATGAAACACATGTGAAGAAGGAAATTTAGGTAAAAGGTATCTGGGGAATTCTTTACCCTATTTTCACAACTTTTTTCCTGTACTGGGAATTTAACTCAGTATCTTGCACTTGCCAGGTAGGTGTGGTGCCACTGAGCTATATCCCTGGCCTTATTTTTGCAACTTTTTGGAATGAAATTATAATTTAAAAACTAAAAACCTGCATGCCTCTCAAGTACAAGGACCCAAGCTCATCCATCCCCCAGTACCAAAAAAAAAAAAAACAAACTGCATATCCCTCTCTAAACCAAACCAAATAGTACAGGCAGCACTGATCCCCTTAACTCATAGGTGAGCCTGGAGGATGGCCCAGTCCAGCCCGGTCAGCGTGGCTCATCTACTTTTCAGTGTGAGAACTCGAACCTGCTCTTCCTAAGCTGGCACTCAACAAGAAAAAGGCTGTGCTTATCCTGAGAACCAAGCCTGTGAAGTGGCACACGGCTGTTGTGTATGAGTCCTGCTTCGCCCGAGTACTTCTGCAGCTGGAGAAGAACTTGGACCTCAAGGCTCAGCTCAAGGGAGCTAAACACTGCAGCAGCCAGGAAATTGGAACAAGTGGCTGGAAAGCGATCATGATCTCTGTTCTAGTTCCTCTGTTGAAATATTCTCAGAAAATCCTATTCTGGCTAGTATGAGAACTGGAAAAAAGTTCAGTAGGAAGCATGTGGTCTTTACTGCTCAGAAGAGTTCTGCCTAAGCGAACTCAAAAATCCACATAAAGCACAAAGTGTCTGTGGAGTCACATGCTGACGGCTGTGTGTGCCACAGCCTCTGAGGACTTGGTCTTCCTCAGTGACCGTGAGCCAGAGACTGCATAAGACTGGAGGGCAGCCTGCTTGGAAGGCTCCCGTGGGAGGCACAGCAGAACAGGTGGAACACAAGGCTTAAACTCTCTGCTGTTGCTAAGAAGCTCATGGGCAAGGGTGTTAATTCTGAATCCCCAGTTGTAAAGAAAAATGACTAAAGTTATTTACGATTAAAGAGCAAAAAATTCAAAGCTTGCCTTGTGCACTGCTTTAGAATGATATAGAGCCTAGGTTTCCCACACCATGAGCTGAGCTCTCACAGTTACAGAGAACAAAGCTGAAGTAAGAGCCCAGATTACACTGACAAAAGGGCTCAGGGTTAGAGCAGGGCCTCTCTTGCCCATATTTACTCCACCTTTCTCCAATAATGCATAGTGGAGAAGATAAAATGAAGTAAACCAAGAACTATAGGTAGGTAAAGTAATAAAAGTAATGGGAGTAAAAATTAAAACCCTGTTTGAATTTCCTATATAAGAGCAGTCAGGGAAACAGAAGAACACGAATGGAAAAAGAATATGAAACCACAAGGAGAGTTTAGCCTGCAAGAAGACTACCATAGACTGACTGACGCGACACAAACGGAGGTGGAATAAAGGGTTCAGAGGGAAAACAGGTCACCAAGGGGAACAGGGGAGGCAACTGTCCTGTGTGGCTTTATCCAAAACAGCAGGACCGAGGACCGGGGATTTAGCTCAGTGGTTCTGTGGCCTGCCTTGCAAACACAATGTCCCAAGTTTGATCCCCAGTACTTAAAAAAAAAAAAAAAAAAAAAAAGAGCAGGACCAGAAAGGAGACTTAGCCATGGGCACATGTCTTACCCAAATCAAACCAGAACCAGAAGTGGTGGTGCAATCTGTAATTCCAGCACTTAGAAGGCTGAGGCAGGAGGATTTTGAGTTAGAGGACAGCAGAGACAACATAGCAAGTTCAAGAACTATATGGCATAGCAAGACTGTTTCAAATTGTTTTTAAAAAATTGTAAAAGAAGTTGGCAGGCTATTAGCTACAGGGGAGTCACAAGTGCCTTTCCAAGAAGCAAGGATACAAATAGGAAAGAAGGCCTATCACAGACAAATCCAAGCCAGGGCCTGGTTTCAGATCAGTGAGGTGACAGGGTTGGAGACTCTTACTCCCTTCATGATTCTCCTCTTCACAGACCTCAGGAGGAACTGCCAGAGGAAGCAAAATGGATCATAACCATGATGTCTGTTTCCCAGTGGCCTTCACTGTACCAAAGGAAACAACATTCTCATCCTTCTTCCTGGGAAGGAGGAGGTAATTTTAGGAATAGACTCTGTCTAGATGCAGGAAATAGCCTCTATTCCAGTCTAAGTAACCCAAAATATGTATATGTAAGATAGCACTATTGGTAAATCTAATTAAATGAAAACACTAGCAGTTCTTGTTAGTGCCCAGTTATAAGCTAACCTGCTCTCTGAAGCTAGACATGGCTCTAACCATCTGTATGAAGGCCTCTCCTGTTTACCACCAAGAGAAATTATTTTAAGCTCTGACTTTCAGAGTGGAGGTCTGACAGTGACTAGTCGACAAAACAATTACTCAGCAGACAGAGCACTAAACGTGCCTGAGGAGCAGGGTCCTGTGCCTTAGGACACTCTGGGTGCTGGGATGGGAACTCCTTGGGATTGGGGAGCACCCACACAAGACGTTAAGGGCCCGGGAACAGAAAGGCTCATTCCAATTGTGGCAAGAGTGGAGAGCTTCTCACCAGGGGGGAAGCGCCGTAGGGACCGCCTGACGTCCAGCAGCACTTGTTGGTAGTCCTTGCTCACCTGCCGTAGGTCCTTTCCTATTGGTGGAAGAGGAACATGTTATGACAAGAATGTTTGCAAGCCCAGGTAGAAGAAAACATTCTAGGACATCGAAGGCCTGGAAAGACACATACCAGTTTATTCTTTTTTTTTTTTGTATTGGGTATTGAACTCAGGACCTTGCGCTTGTGAGGCAGGCTCAGAACCACTGAACTAAATCCCTGGCCCTTACTAGCTTATTTTTGAAGAGCTATTATTCAAAATACATTGGGAAGGAATCCCTATTTTAGTTCAAAACATATGTGGTTTCATGCAAGTCATGGAGACCATAAAAGAAGGACACAGGCTATCCAGGCAGCAGTACAGTGGGCAGAGAGCAACAGAGAGGTCAGGAGGCCTGGGCCTTAGGGGGTGCCCTGTGCGTCACTGGAGACCTGCCCACACCTGTAAGTGAGGATACTCCCTTCCCCATGCACTTTTTAGGTTACCATGATGACTGCATAAATAGATCCTTGTTACAACTGTAACTTTTTTAACACTGTGTGAGCCCTGAGCTGTTCAACAGGAATAAAGTGAGATAAATAAAAGCCAGGCACTGTGGCACATTCCTGTAGTCCTAGCACTGAAAGAGGACGAGGATCACAAATTTGAGTCTCACTTGGGTAACTTAGCAAAACCCTGTGACTTATTTTCTCACTGCTGAGACAAAATACTCAACACCCAAAGTTAAAGCAGAAAAGGTTTATTTTAGCTCACAGTTTGTAGATGTTTCAGTCCATAATCGGCTGGCTTCCAGGTAGGGGCAGAAAGACATCACAGAGGAGAGACAGTTCATGGCGGGCAGAAGGTAGCAAAGCAAGCAAGGGCTGACCATAGCTTCTTTTATCCCTTATATCTTATCCAGGCTACTTAGGGCAGGTAGCACTCACACCTTTAGTCCTAGTGCCCTTGATCCTAGAGTTGCACTATGAATTAATTCCAACATCACACACTCTAGAGCGACCCCCTCTAAAAAAGCCCCACCTATGACTACATGAGGCTTTGGGGAGACATCTAGACACAGGCCATAACGCCCTGTCTGAAAAAAAAGGCGGGGAGCTGGGGATGTAGCTCCATGGCAGAGCACCCCTGGTTTCAATCCCAAGCAACACACACACACACACACACACACACACACACACACACACACAAATTTTAATGCCTCTTAGACCTGAAATTATAAAGATGCCACCGACAGGAGAAAGACTGTGGTCAAGGCAGAAGCGCAATACAATGTAAAAGTTAAGAGGCTATCTCTCACCGTGTGCAGGTGTACACTTCCCTCAACACAAATCAAGGACTATGAAAGAAGTGTCCATTTCCCTTGCAACCCAAGTCGACAGCCCTGAAAGAAGTCTGTACTTCCTGTTATCAGGAGAGCTGGGAAGTGTGGGAGCTCAGAGAATGTCTTCTCAGGATGGTATGTGAATATGGCAGAGCCTTTGCCTTCCAATGAAAAGTTGACCACTCCAAGGAGGCCAGTTCCAAAGATAATGGAAGTGGTGACTCAGTACTTCCTAGGCAGCACCATGGGACTATGAATTTTTTAGGCAACCATCACCTCCAGAACCTAGCATACAATAGCAGCACAACTAACATTTGCCAAATGAAAGAACATCCCCAGCTCCTGGCATTTTGCCATAATAGCATCAACGAGATAAACTGAATGAGTCAAGGAGATGGACAGCAAAGCATACTCACTGTCCCACTATAATTCTTCTGTATGTTGGACAACATTTCAGGGGATTCCTTTCTCTACATGGCTCTGCAAATAGTTATGTAACAGCTTTTTGTACAATTACAGATTTAAAAATTTTTTCAAGACAGTCTTGCTAAATTGCCCGGGATAGCCTCAAATTGGTGATGATCCTGCTGCCTCAGCTTGCTGAGCTGCTGGGATTACAGGCATGTTACACTGCACCCAGCAATTACTGAATTTTGGATCTACAAACGATCTTAATATTTCCCAAGAAAAAGGTTTTCCTTTGTTTCTCAATATGCTGTCCCTCTGCATGAGAATCAGCTGGGTACTTATTAAAATACAGATTCCTACAACAGACCTCCAATCAAGGAGAATCTCAACCAGAAAAGACATTCTTACGTGTCATGTAAAGGTACAAGATCCCAGTAATGAATGTAACTGTACTGTATACCTAGAATGTACCAATAAACTCAATAAAAAGAAACAAAACAAAACACTTTTTTTTTTTTTTTGAGACAGGGTCTCACTATGTAGTTGAGACTGACCTAGAACTCACTATGTAGCCCAGGCTGGTTTCGAACTCACAGTGATTCTCCTGCCTCAGCCTCCTGTGTGCTGGGACTACAGGCCTGTGCCACCATGCCTGGATAGAAAACACATTCTTAACAGACTTTCTTTCCTAGCCAATATCTTAATCACTAATAGAAGCTCACTCCAGGTATGAATCAAATCCTACTTATCAGGACTAAAATGTATAATAGATGTTGAGAAATGGGAAGAAAATGTTTGGATGGGAGAGGGAACGGGAGGAGGGAGGGAAAAAGAAGGAAATGACAAGAAAAAAAAGGAGAAAATGGAAAGAAAAAAAATGGAAACAAAGCTTTGTACATAGGAAGGGGAGGGGGCTTGAAGGGAGGGAAGCCATGGGAAAAAAGAGGCAGGATGTATAATGTACAGGTACAAATTCCCTATAATGAGTGTTACCATTATGTATACCTAAAATGTACCAATAAATGATTTTTTTTTTTTTTTGTACTGGGGATCAAACTCAGGACCTTCTGCTTGTGAGGCAGGTGGTGGTACCACTGAGCTAAATCCTCCGCCCAATAAATGTTTTGCTATTAAAAAAATTCTATTTATCAGTTATCAGGCCTTATTTCAGAGTGAGGGCTAGCGTTTCAATGTATTCATCTATTTTGGGTTCAAAATGAGCACAAAAATTAAGCACCCTAGAATCCCTTTCTCCCTGACTCCTAGACAAGCTCCCCTCTGGGGCCCCATGTCCAGTACCTGGTGCAGGTGGGGGGTCACTGGTGTTGACATTGAGGAGCTTGGGCCACACTTTCTGTCTGATCTCATCAGTTAGGAGTCCTCCTTCACTAATAGCCATGCGTCTGAGGGCAGCCACATCAATAGGATCACTGTTCAGGGCCTGGTGGATCTCTGCCACTTTCTTTTTCCTTTTGGTGTTGAAGTCTGCAGAAATAAAACCAGAGTGTGTGAAGAGCATCAGGCACACATTCAGCATATGTAGCTTTTTGCTTAGGGCTCCATCTCCTTATTTGACTTGAAGTAAGGTGGGTAACTTCTCTTACACATTTGCTTCTAGATCACCGGCTGGCAGAGGCAGGATTAACTGGCCCAGTGTGCTGAATCTCACAGACAAGTTGCATACTTTTAAAAGATGATCCTTTTCTATAGGTTTGGACCAACAATAATATGCAAAGAATGTCATTTTAAAGAAAAAAAAAGAGGCAGTTAAAGAATGTGTTAATAACAGATAGGTGGTAATTCAGATCCTAGCCCTGCAACTTATTAGTTCTATAACTTTGGGCAGAACACATTACCTCTTAGACCTCTGGACTACAGTTTCCTGTCAAGACACTCACTATGGGATGGGGATTTAGCTCAGTGGTTCTGTTGCCTGCTTTGCAAGTGCAAGGACCCAAGTTCGATCCCCGGTACAAAAAAATATAAATAAATAAATACATTTTAAAAAAAAGAAAGTCACTATATGGTACACGGATCATATTGACCTAATGTAAGTCCTCCTCATTCTGAAATAGCAAATTTTTAAAAATCAACCTACAGATACTTAACTGGCATACTGAGATACACTATGTAAGTAATAAGCAAGGAATTACAATTACAATAAATGCTCAGTAAATCTAGGCATATCTAGCAGTTAATGCCAATGTTTTCCTGTTCTTTCTTAATAAATCTCAATCTAAGAACTTTTCCTCGGCCGGGGATTTAGCTCAATGGTTCTGCTGCCTGCCTCGCAAGCACAAAGACCTGGGTTGATCCTTGGGGCCAAAAAAAAAAAAAACAAACCAAAAAAAAAAAAAAAAAACGAAAAAAACAAAAAAAAAAAAAAAAAAACGCTAAGAACTTTTCCTTTTTGTTTATATAGGAAAAATGCAATTCAAAATTCAGAACCAAGGCTGGCTGCGATGTAGTTTAGTGATCACTTGCTGCTAAGGTCCCGAGTTTGATTCCCAGAACCATGAAAGAAAATAAACAAAGGCCTAGGGATTTAGCCCAGTGGTGCTGCTGCCTGCCTTGAAACTGCAAGGTCCTGAGTTCAATCTCTGGTACCAAATCAAAAACAGTTAATACTAAATTAACATAATTAAATTATGTGCTGCCAAAGCAAGTACAATACATTTTAAACAAAACCATATGGAAACATCTCCAGCTACAGACTGCATTAGAATCATATGGAAGTATTTTCAAAAGCAGTGTGTTTCCAGTATGGCTGGTAGAGGCGATGATACTGCACACAAAGCAGATGTTTCTCAACAATCATATTAGTCACCAATGACAAGGAAGTAATGTTTTAAGCATCTTATATTTTTGTTATTTACAGACATTTTACTGAGTTTAAATTACTTTTTAAGGAAATGGGTTGGCAGTCTGTGACTGATATCATCATATAATTTTTCTATTTAAAATAATGGGCACATGGCTGTAAATCACAGCAACCTGGGATGCAAAGGACAATCATGAGTCTGGTGTGAGTCTAGGTAATTTAGTGACACCCTGTCTCAAAAAGTATGTGTGGGTGCTGGAGTTTTAGCTTAGTGCTAGCCTAGCATGAACAGGGCCCTGGGTTCAATTCCCAGTAGATGAAATGAAATAAAATAAGGGCCCATAGGTTTTCAGAGTTTTATATTGCAATGTGTGCTTTTAGTAATGGCTTGCTAAAGTTAAATGAACCATGCCTGTATTCAGTCTTTCTATTGCCTTCACCTCTGAGAAGATAAACCAAAAACACAAAAAAAGTTAAACAAGAAAACATCAAATATCACAAGACAGTGTATTATAATTGTCATATGTGGTGACAATAAAGATGAAGAGCTCAAAGAGACTGGCAAGTCAGACACCTTAAAAATACAACTCTCTCTCTCTCTCTCTCTTTTTTTTTTTTTTGCAGTACCGGGAATCAAACTGAAAACCTTGGGCTTGTGAGGCAGGCGTGGCATCTCTGAGCTAAATCCTTGGCCCAAAAGTACATCCTAATAAGGGCAGAACTCAGCCAGAATCTATCTCAGTGGTTCCACCACCTACCTCGCAAGTGCAAGGACCCAAGTTCAATCCCTGGTACAAAAAAAAAAAAAAAAAAAAAAAAAAAAAAAAAAAAAAAAAGAGGCAGAACTCAGCAGGATACACACAGAATAGAAGATCTGGAGATAGGAAGCAGGCCCTTTCTTTTGACAGAAAACAAACTCTAGACACAGTAGAAGATAACACCAGAAGGTAGGTTAGACCTCAGAAAAGGTACTAAGCAGCTTCTCCCAGCAATGTCCTATTCTGACACAACAGCAGCTTACAGATTGTTTCCACTACAAAGCTGGACACTATATGAGAGCTGGCACTAAAGGCCCCAGTGACCCATCTGTAAGAACTGTGACATAAACTGTAAAACTGAGGTCTGGAGTCACATGCAGCTGCAGGCCAGACAGGAAAACAACGTGACTCTCTGCCCAAGTAAACTTGTTCTCCTGGCTAAACTGCTCATGGTTTCTCTGGAACCTAGGACAGTGACCAATTGTCTGAATCTTCCTGGCTTATACCTATAGTCTTGATATAACTGCTCTGTTCCCTGAATGCTCAAAAATGGGCCAGTTTGGAGGCTAAATCAAAGGGCTACTTTACCTAGAAATCATGAAAAACCAAGCCCTTAATTCCCTGTGAGCAGAGCACATAATTAGTTAATTGTTTATGAAGTGCATCAAGCTCTTGGCTCAGGTTATCTTTCTACCCACCTATCCACCCACCACCCCATCTGCCCACCCATTTAACAGACCATCAATTAATGAGTGTCTACCTATACAGAGCACTGTACTGGGATAAAAAGATGGGTAGGGTTTCCTCACAGCCCTTGAGCTCACAGCAAAGAGTGATGCAACAGAATCACGAAGCATCATGGAAACCCACAGGAAAAAAATGGCCAATTTCAACACAAGGAGCAAAGGTAACTTCTTGGGAACTCTGCCACATGGCAGAGTGGGTCTAAGAGAAAACATTCCTGGAGAGGAAGGAGCATGTGCAAAGCCCCTGTCACATTAATAAAGCACCATGGGGGCTGGAGATTTAGCTCAGTGGTTCAGCCCTCTGCCTTGAAAGCCCAAGGTCCCGAATTCGATCCCTAGTACCAAAAAAACAAACAAACAAAAAAAGAATTTATCTATTTGGGCCAGCGATTTAGCTCAGTGGTTCAGTGGCCTGCCTTGCAAGTACAAGGACCCGAGTTCAATCCCCGTACCAAAAAAAAAAAAAAAAAAAAAAAAAAAAAAAAAAAAAAAAAAAGACAAAAAAATAAAGCACCATGTCCACTCAGGAAACAGAACACAAGTTCTGTGGGGTTGTAGTGTCAAGTGCAGGGAAGACAACAGAAGTAGGAGAGATTCTCCTCTCCTCTCCTCCCCTCTTTTCTTTTTTTTTTTTCTGGTGGTGGTGATGGGGGCTGTCTAACTAGGTGGCCCAGGCCAGCCTCAAACTGATGATCCTTTTGCCTCAGCTTTGCAAGAGTTGGGACGATAGGCAGGCACCACCAGGCTCAGCAGGCCTCTGGGTTTTGGAAGACCAAGCTAAATGTTTTCAGGGAGGAGTCACAAACACCCAGGAAGATGCCAAGACTTTTTTCTCTTTCTGGGGCTAGGGATGGAAGCCAGGCTTTGCACATGCTAGGCAAGCACCCTACAACTGAACTGCACTCCCTTTTTATATGACACACCTTTCTATATGACAAATATATGATGAGACAGAATATGGGCAGGAATTCAATTAATTTCCAACAGAGAGGAAAAATCTAACATATTTACATTTCTTCTAAACTTGAGCTTGCTTGCATTTCCCACACATCACAAATTAATAGCACTTAAATCGGGCACGGTGGATGTCTATAATCCCAGCCTGGGGGGGGAGGCAGGAGAATCACTGTGACAGCCTGCACTACATAGCAAAACTCTGAATCAAAAAACAAAGAAATGATAAACACCCCCCCAAAAAAAAACAATCAACAGCACTTAATTGGTAACAATGAATACTGCTTGAGGAACACTAACAATGAGAAATTTTGTTGACCCATGTGCTAAGAGTATGGGAAATTTTCAATTTGCTTAGATATATTCCATCCCCTTTCCAGGTAAACTGAAGAAGGGGAGGAAACTTGCTTTTATCTTGGGAAGAAGAACACTGCTTGCAATCAGTTGGACTTGATGTAATTTTGACAAATAATCCGCTAGAATGTTAACTAACTCTGAATCCAAATTATAGCTCCAATTCTTTTTTTTTGGTACTGGGGATTGAACTAGGGTTCTTGCGCTTGCAAGGCATGCGGCAGAACCGCTGAGCTAAATCCCCGGCCCTTTAATTCTTTTTTTAAGACTGGTCTGATTCCACTTTCCATCCTGTATTTTTCTTTTCCTTTTTCTTTTTTTTTTTTTTTCAAGATAAGGATTCAAGACGGGGATTACAGGCCTGAGCCACTGGTGAATCCTGTTTTTTAAGACTTACTATCTTATTTTTGAAACTCAACAAATATATATATAGAGAGAGAATAGAATAAAATTTTAGTTTAGTTACTATTCCACTGGAAAACATTTCCTATAGGAAATGACATCACTTTTCCCTAAGTACCGATAAGATTATGCTCATTGCAGAATTCCAAATAGATCTGTACACTCTGTGGTCTGTTTCTAAAGCTCTTGGTGCTTCCCAGTGTAGAATACGGCTCACCTGTGGATTCTGGCTGCACTGCCTTCCTTATCTCACATTCCAGAAGCCAGATGTCAGTGGCAGAGGAAGAAGACACTCCTGTATGTGCCATCCCCACAGATACTTTCTATTGCACGTAAGACCTAGGCTCTCATGGTAATACAGAAAGGTAAGAAAAAAACAGAAAACTCAAGTGAACTAGAAATGCACAAACCACACTGTGAGACGGTCAACAGCTAAAAAATGAGGAAAGGTCAGCAAGGTCTCTGCTGAATGATGAACTGACACATATCCCACCTGTCAAGAGAAAAGTCACCAAGCTATTTTGGGGCTGTTCAGGAAAAGATCAAAATGAATGACTACTATCTATTTTATGTTAAGGTAAATTTTATGAACAGGTTTTAGTGTAGGACACACATTTCTGTATATATGCTGCCGACGTGAGCACAAGGACAAACAGTTTTGGATTCTAGAATGCCATCTACACTCAGGATAAAAGGCCATCTTTCACCTGGAGGTACACTGTCCCTCCAATCTCTGAATCCTCTCCTCTCCAATTTATATAGTACCTCACTGAGAGGTATATTGTACATTCCAAAGCTGATACCTTCCAAATGCCTTTGTAGTAGAGGACTTGGCTATCATAACAATGATGGAATGAAATGACTGATCTATAGCTGTCTGTAAATACGAAACCAAATCAATCAATGATGCTTGAAAAGTATGAAAAAAGAACCAATAAAGGAAAAAGGAATGACATGGGCACTACTTTTACCTGCTCTCCATTTAAATACCACTAAAGCAGTAGTTCTTTACAGTTCAGGTAAAGATGGCTCAGTCCATTATTGTCTTAAACCTCTCCCAACTTTGGCTTTAGAACCTAAGCATATATTTTTGCATCCACCGAATAACAGGTATCTCCAAAAGTCCCTGGTTTGGGGGAACCTAATATATAGTAAAAGGACTATGACTAAAGAAGACTTTAGCTACCCTCTCAAAGTTTCTGTGGCTCCAAAATACTTATTGGGTAAGGGATTTACACATTATATAGTGGAAGCTTAAGCGAAAGAACAAAATTCCATACTGATTACTTGGTTTAAGCTTGCATATGAAGGAAACTTTACAGTCTATTTTATTGATTGATTGATTGGTTTTGAGACAAGGTCTCACTATGTAGTTCAGGTTGCCTTGAACTCACTATGTACCCCAAGCTGGCCGAACTCATGGTAATCTTCCTGCCTCAGCCTCCCAAGTGCTGGAATGACAGGTGTGCGCCAAAGTACCTGGCTAACTTTACAGTCTTTTTTTTTTTTTTTTTTTTGGTATCAGGGATTGAACTGAAGTCCTTGAGTTTGTAAGGCAGCTGGCGGAACCACTGAGCTAAATCCCCAGCCCCTTTATAGTCTTTAAAGAGCATTTAAACTGTAATTTAAAGACATTAGCCTTAATCAAAACAATAAAAGAACCAGAAATGTGAGGCCCTGATGTCAATTCCAGGTAACAAAAAACACCCAAAAGAGGGGGAGGTGAGTAGGGGGGAGAAGAGGGAGGGAG